CAGTGCTTGCAGGGCAGGTGCTCAGGTTTTTGTTCTGCTTTTCAGATTTACACCCGCTCTGTGATTGACCCCATCCCTGCCCCAGCTGGTGACAGCTGTGCTGACAGTGCCACGAAAGCGGGCGACAAGCAGAAAAAGAAGACCAAGATGTCAGATGAAGACATCATGGAAAAACTACGTAGGTGCCTTCATTTCAGATAAACACAGGAGTGGGGGAGGAATATTACAGCCATCTTTTGTGTAAGGGCTGTGTGAGTGCAGAGTTTGGGTGGTTCTGTGTCCAGCAGAAGCTGAGAGTGCTTGGCTCTGGTTGGTTTATCCTGCTGATGGATCAGATCTGGGGTTGTRTCATACATGCAGATCACAGTACCACAGCTGAACTTCAATCAAACCACAGTAACACWAAGTAGTTTCTGCTGTTGCTTGTTGCATAATTATCTTGTTGATGGTTTTTCACTGTGATAATGTTCCTGTGCAGCTTTGGCTGTTGGAGCAGCAGTTTTGCTACTTGAGCTGACCCACTCTTGGCGTGTTTTGGCCAGACCAGCCCTCCTGCTASTGAGGGACAGTGGGATTGGATTGACTTTTTGATTGTGGCGTTTGTTTGTTTTTTTTTCCAGGCACTATTGTAAGCATAGGAGATCCCAAGAAAAAATACACCAGATATGAAAAAATCGGGCAGGGGTAAGTATTCACCCCAGCTTTTATTCCCAGTGGGCCATTGTTAGCAACAGGGTGCTGTTCTCTGYCTCACAGCACCTACTGTGCAGGCAGAGGTGATAAATTGTCAAATCCCACTCTGGTTAGGGTGGGAAGGGACCTTAAAACTTAAAGCCCATCCCTTAAAGTTCCACTTTCTTCCCCTGGAGCAGGTGGCTCCAAGCCTGTCCAACCTGGCCTTGAACACTTCCAGGGATGGGGCAGCCACGACCTCTCTGGGCAACAAATAGTAAAATAAATAAACAGTGAAGGCCTCACACAGTGGTGGAAGTTCTGCRTTGAAAACCGAAACAATTTTTTGTTTGTGACTTGGCTGTTCACACGTATTTGTTACACAGGGAGTGCCACTTGCTGTAACRTTTTTCTTTCTCTTCACAGGGCTTCAGGTACAGTTTTCACAGCTATTGATGTGGCAACAGGGCAGGAGGTAAGATTCCTGTGTTCATTTTTTATTTAGATGTTCTGTAGGTGGCCAGAATGATCTGACTAATTTCCTTCAGTGGCTCCCATCGCTGCTATCACCTCTCAGATCTGTTTGTCATACTCAGTTGTAACAGTGCGTGCCTTGTTCTGTAGCAATCAGATGATGAAAGCTAAAAATAGAGATCTGTCTTTCCAGTGAAAAGCAGAGGGAGTGAGGTGTTCCAGAAGTGAGTTGGGAAAATGGTTTCTCCTTCAAGAATTGCAGGCATTGGTGTGTTGTGTTTTCAGAAGTAAAACTTGGTTTAGTCTTTGCAGACTTGGCTGTGTCTGTCTGTGTCAAGCAGCTTGTCTCATGCCCTTCTCCAAATCCTGTTTTTTTGTTTTATCCCTTGATTTCTCCAGAGCCTCTTGGTGAAATTGAGGCATCAGCAATACTTTGCATGTTTGTCATCCAGTGGCCATGTCGTGGGACACAACCCAGAGGGCTTCTGGGGCTCAAATYTTAGGAATTATTTGTCTCTATTTAACTTTAGATTTCCTTAATTTGCTACTAGTGCTTCTATTTCARTTTTTTCCTTAATTTTGCTTTAAATATCTGCAAGTAGGCATTCCTTAGGTCACAAATAAAAGTCCTTTCAGCAGTAATCACATTTAGCAGTGGAGTGTCACATCTTGATGAAACATGAGCCCTGCCATCATCTCAATAYGTGTCTCTTAGTTTGCTCTCTACACACTGCAGTATTTCATGTCCTCTTACTGAATGCAGAGTGAATTTTGGGCTCCAGGGCGTTTCTTTGGCCTCCTCTGCACTTTGCCAGGCAGCTGATGGCTTGCAGGCAGGATTTCCTCTGCTTRGTGCCTGAGGACAGAGTTGGGTCTGCTCATCAGTAAGAGGAACTTTCCTGTTGGAGCTACACAGTGACAGGACAAGAGGCAGCAGATAAAAAGGGAAATTTAAGATTGGTATTAGAAATTTTTTAGATTTTTCTCACTCCCAGTCAGGATCATCAAGCATGACACAAAAGCCCAGGAGGGGTTGTGGAGCTCATTGAGATCTCCATTCCAAACTCCCACAGAACCCTCAGCAAGCTTCTCTACCTCCAGTCATAGTTATTTTGCCACAGAATGACGAGAGTCTATTCCTTTAATGTCCTTGGCAATGTAATAACCATCATTTCTACAGGATTATGTTGGTTCTTGGGTTTGATTTTGGAGTCATGGGCAGGTTGTCTTRCAGAACTCCAAGCCTCCTCCTCAGAGTGTTGGAGTTAACAGAACTGGAACAATTCTTCTCCATTTTAAATGTTGTAGTATTTGTCCTTGCTAGCTTATTTCCTGGATAAGGTGGGTCTTTATCTTCCCTTGTCCCTGAGATAGTTGGTTGTGTTAATGGATTTGAGAGGAATTCCTCCTGCCTCCCAGCTTTCCMTATAACCTAACACCAATTAAGTCAGAATAGAGAACAACAAATTGCCTCGCTTTGCATTGGAAGGGCTCAGATTTTCTCTGTGAGTTGCTCCAGGATTCTCTTCTGCTTCAGGCCTGTTGATGTGGAATTGTTGATGTGGAATTGGGTGAATCTCTTTTTTATCTCCTGAATTTTCCCTTTGCTGTSTGTTCTGGCCTCTGTTACTCTTGGTGGACCCTTTCAGCTGCAAAAGGGTGATGTTGGCCATGGGTGCTGATCAAGCTGCATTTTTTTAAGTGATAAATAAACATCTGTTCTAAACTCCTTTAATCCTGTTACAAGATTCCTTCTGCMTTTTTACCATGTTAAGAGTGACTGAAAGGTTTGGGTACTGAGCTTTGAGTTTGCTGTTTTATTTTGTCCTATTCAGGTGGCTATCAAACAGATCAATTTGCAGAARCAGCCCAAGAAGGAGCTGATTATTAACGAGATCTTGGTAATGAAGGAGCTAAAGAACCCCAACATAGTCAACTTTCTGGACAGGTAAATGCAGCCAGCTGGCTGATTGCTCATTTTGAGGGTTACAGGAGGTCATCCCTCACACAGACCTGCTCTTCCTGTCCCTAAGGATCTTGGAAGTGAAGGGGTCTGTATGGACTGTCACCCTGATGGCACAGGGGCATGCTTTTGGTWTTCTCTTTGTAGTTACCTCGTAGGGGATGAATTGTTTGTGGTGATGGAGTATCTGGCTGGAGGCTCTCTAACAGATGTGGTCACAGAGACGTGTATGGATGAGGCACAGATTGCTGCTGTCTGCAGAGAGGTGAGTGTGGAGCTGCTGGGCTGAGCAATGAAGGTGCTGAAGGTGCTTGCTATTCCCCTCATTTTTATGGCTTCCTCAGGTTAGCTCTGCTTGCAGCAATTGTTGCTGAATTCATTGAGTAAATGAATGGTGCCATGCGCAGAAATCAATACTAAAATGACAGAAAATAGCAAAATGAAGTTAATTTAGAAAACTAGGCTTTACAGGCTGTAACACAAAAGAGCTGCAGTGGTGTTTGAGAATGTTTGGTGATGGAGCAAATGAAGTCTGTGGGTTTGGTACCTGGGTGCCTCATCCTGCTGACAGTATCAACAGAAAGACACAAATAATGTGGACTGTTACTAACAGAGTAACATGAAAAAGCTTCAGGAAGGGGCAACAGAGAAATTCAGCAGCTGGAAGGAATGGCTTTTAAACTTGGGCTAACAAAAAACATTCAGAGGCACTAAAAAAAAATCTGCATATTTATGTATAGGTAATGTAGAAAGCAAGAAAAAATACCTCCTGAAAGCTTTGAGGTCTTTTCCAGAAAGGAGAAGGGGAACTGTGTTTGCTCACAGTATGAAAGTGGATCTGCTGAAACAGGAGTACATTAAGAAACATATACTAAAATAAAGATGARCTGAGTGCAGACTGTCCCTTTCCCACTTCAGTCGTTCCCATGTGTGTGAAATCTGWAGTTCTGTGCCAGTTGAGCTTGCTTTATGGATTTCACAGGAAAATAATTCTCCAGAAGGTTGTAGTTGGAGTAATGTTAAAGTTGCAGTAAGATTTCAAATGAAAGTGTTAAAAGCAGCTGATATCACAACTTATCAGTGGTTTCTGCCCTGAGCCAGTGCCAGCATCCAGCTCAGGCTTGATTTCTCATGGCAGGAGGAGAATTGTGTTATCTGCTGTGCAGGAGAAAYTTTTAAAAAGCCCATCTGACTCCTCAGCATGACGAGTGTTGCTGTGACTCACCCCAAGGGAGGGCAGGAAGAGCAAACCTGCACAGGAGCRTGTGTGGACAGGGAATGATTTCCAGAGAAACCAGAGCTGGAAGCAGAGAACCAAAASAGTAACTCTACTGTGACAGTAATGAACTTTTCTGAGGAAGAAATCAAATGTTGAACTATTGTGCTTCATCAAAGCTCTGCTGCCCGGTCTTTAAGACAGATTTAATTTTGCAAATCAGTGTCACTTTGCTAAAGCAAACCAAGATAAAAAGACCTCTGTGAGGATGTCTGTGCCAAGCTGCAAATGGCAAATGTTCTGCTTAGATGGAAAGAGAAAAAGCTGGGTTTTTTTTTTTTTATTATTTTCTTTTGTCTTTTATTCTCAAATAACAAAAGTAAATTWCATTATGGTTTTGGGCAGAGACTTAATGTGAAAGGTTTTAATCTGAAAACAATGCAAACCAGTATTAGGGCCTTTCAGAATGAAGTTTTACAGTCTTCACTGTAGAAGTTGTGTGGGTGTTGGGAATGAAGCCTCACCAACTGCTCTTGGTGAGACCTCAGCCCAAAAAACTCTCACTCAATTCTTTATAGTTCCACTGTAGAATCTGTGGGATGTATCAAAATTAACATCAGGGATGTCTGAGAGCACCTCRAGTGATGAGGAGTTTAAAGGATGCATTTGTTAAGACAGGGAACCTCCACAGTGAATGATTTTTGACCTCTTGAAATCTGGAGCATATTTTAGCCCAAGAGCTTCCTCTGCTGGTTATTTTCAAGAATACCTTTATATTCTTGCACTCAGAGCTGGCTGGGGGTGTGAACATGGCTTTGAATTTGCATTCACGTACATCATTTGTGTTTCTGGATGCTGAATGTTGTTTTTTTTCTCTCCTACCCAGTGCTTGCAAGCGCTYGAGTTCCTCCATGCCAACCAGGTCATCCACAGGGACATAAAGAGTGACAATGTGCTGTTAGGAATGGATGGATCAGTTAAACTCAGTGAGTAGCAGATAACTGTTTCACATTCTGTGTTCCCTTTTCCAGGAATCTCTCGCTCGGAGTGTGTAAATGGGTAGAAGGAGAATTGGCAGGGAAATTTGAGGTGGATTTTTACTGGCTATGATTAATAGCAATCAATCCTGTTATAAAATATGTATCAGGCAGGTGTTGATACTTTGAGGGCACTCAGGCTGGGGCTRTGGATGTGTTGGCCCAGAAGGATTTTGAAACTAACCTGTGGCCCCATGAATCCATTGGTAATGGGAAGTAACTGGTACCAGACAGTGCAGCAAAATGGGAATGATTGCAAGAGCAAAGATGCAGCAAATTGCAGAGGCTTTGTTAGGATGTCATGACTTGGTTTTAATGCTTTGCCCCATTCATTAAAAGGCCACTAACAAGAAAATTGGGCATTTTTGGTCATTTATTGCAGTCTGGTGTTACCCTGTACCTTTTCTTGGACTGGAAGTGTAACACTTTTATTAATATAATCATGGCAAAAGAAACTGCTTGCTTTTCAGATAATTGTTATGCATGCATGGGCTTGTGTACAGTAACTCCTTTTCTGGTGTGTGTGAATAAAAATGATGTGAAACCACTGGTAGCTGTCAGGACTGTTGAGAAAGAGGTGTATTATCTGCCTTTCTGGAATGTAGGAATGTAACAATCACAGAGTTAAGGCAGAAAGGTGTGAAGTAAAAACTGRTTTTAGTAGGAATTTGAATTGAAGTGCCATCAAAATGTGTCTTAGCAATATTCCATATTCTGGATGGTTTGTAGTCTCATTTATGGATGGAGTGTGAAGAAAGATTATGAGCAGCCCGATTTGCATACCAGCGTTGTGGGATGCACTGCTCGTGTGCAGAGGGAATTTTTTTCTAGAATGTGATGTGTTTGTGCACAAACTGTGGATTTAGAGGCTGAGGTGAACAGTTAGAGCAGAGAATGTGGCTGACAAGAGTTAGCTAAAATTGCTAAAGAGCTGTGAAAGCAAAGCAAAGTGGCCAAAGGACACGGTTAGCAGCTGAGTCAAAATCATCACCCCAGCAGGTCAGGGAGGATGAGGAGGAAGGAGACCCAGGAGAAGACAGGATTCAGCTGCAGAAATGCCCTGTGTGGAGGGGAGCTGGTGTTGTGCTGAATAAACTCTTCGGGGGCTGTGTGTACCACTTTAGCAGTAGTTTAGGGTGAGAGAAGCTTCACCTTCTTGTTAAACTCTTTCCCTTCTCTGAGGGAGTCTGGGGACAGGACAGGTGTCACCACTGCAGCTGCACATGCTACTGGTGAAAYTGGGTTCCTGCCTGTCTTCTCCCTCTGTGCTGGTGACTGGTGTTGAAGGATGGCTGGAGGGCAGGAGAACACTTTACAGCTGCCCGCCCTGGGCTGGTCATGGAAATGAGCAGTGCTGGGAGGTGACTGGGGCACCGTGACCAGGCCAAAAAGTGCAGGAGGAACTTGGTGACTCCTATAGGTCTGATTTTTGTTTGGTTTTGKTTTTTTTTTCAAGGCAGCATTTTGACTGTCAGGGTGGGGTAGTTCTTTGTTAAATGATTTKGGTACAACCTGGCACTTCCATGAGTTGGCTCTTTCGTTAGCACTGCTTGGCATGACGCTTCCAAAATCACCTCGGAATTTAAATTTCTCTCTCTCTTTCTCTCCCTCTCTCTCTCTCTTTCTCTAACTTAGTGTCAATGGTAAAGTAATATCTGTCTCCTGCCTTAACTGTGTTCTTATTGATGCTTTACATGCCTGGGAAATGGGAGTGCTGCAGCTGGATAAAGTAACATGATGGGACATGCATTGCTGCTGCACCTGAAGGCTATAGGAATAGGTGACTTTTCTCGTTTTCTTGAGTGTGGTTGTTCTCTTTGGTAGTTCCCTTGTGGAGAGGTTTGTTTGTCCAGGTTCCTGCTGCTGAGTGGGGTAGCACTGCACTTCCCTGGAGCCTTGTTTCCGTGTCTGTCAGCTGTAGTACCTGTATAGATGGCCAAAGTGCTGTGAAATGTTGACCTCAGTAGCTGCACAAGTACAGCAGGGCAGAAGCCATGGATTGGGGATGGATTTCTTCTGGTTCAGGCTGTGTAACACACCGCGTGCAGAACGCTCCCTGCCTGTGTTCTGCTTGATTGCTTCTTTTGGCTGTTACCATTCTGGAATTCTTGAAGGAAGGACTGGGCAAAACACCATTCTCCTACAGGATAATTCTTGTTTCCAGAGAATAAAAGCCCTTGTCTTCACTCCACGGAATTCTGCCCTGCTTAAGCACCTTCAGGTTTTGTATCTTCATTGCACGTTGGCTTTTTTAACATGGAGAATGTAGTGGGGGAGGAAAGAAGAAAATTCCCCAAGCCCCTCTCAATGAAATACATGTGTAGCAATAGAGAAATCTTCTAGGAAAGCCACTTCTTGGGSTGCACCAATTTAACCTCTTCAACTTGTGTTGTCCTGCAGCCGACTTTGGCTTCTGTGCCCAGATCACCCCYGAGCAGAGCAAGCGCAGCACCATGGTGGGAACTCCCTACTGGATGGCTCCYGAGGTGGTCACACGGAAAGCCTACGGCCCCAAAGTGGATATCTGGTCCCTGGGCATCATGGCTATTGAGATGGTGGAAGGAGAACCCCCGTACCTCAACGAGAACCCCCTGAGGGTAAGAAGCCCTGGCGCTGCTGAAGCTGGGTGTCCACCACTGTCGGTCGTTGTTCAGTAATTGTACCTGCATTGAAAATAAATGGAAAAGCCAACAGGCCTCAGCAGTACAAGAAAATCCCTCCAGAGGAAGAAAGCTGTCCTGAATTTGCAACCAGCTTTACCCTGACTGCCCATCCCTGGGAGTGTCCAAGGCTGGGTTGGACAGGGCCTGGAATGACCTGGGATGGTGGAAGGTGTCCCTGCCCATGGCAGGGGGTAGAATGAGATGGGGTTTGAGGTCCATTTTTACCTAAACCAGTATGTGATTGTATTCAGAAGATTTGCTTGCCTGTGACTAAATCACTTTGCCCTCAGGCTTCTGTGATAGTTTAGGGAAAATAAATCTGTGAGGTTATGAGAAGTGCTGCTGTGTCACAACCTGCTGTTCTCTTCACTAAGGTCAGATCTGTTGCCAAAAGATTTTGAACATTATTTTGCAACTAGCAAGAATAGGTCATGACTGCCCACACTTGTGGCATTTTTACAGTTTTAATCTCTGAAACTGAGGAAGAGTAGGCTGCAGAGCCCTCTCATTTGAGCCAGGTCAGTTTGGCATCTTTTGAAGCTTGGGTTTGGTTACATGTTACTCCTCATTTTACAGGCTTTATATTTGATAGCAACTAATGGCACACCAGAGCTGCAGAACCCCGAGAAGCTGTCACCAATATTCCGGGATTTCTTGAACCGATGTTTGGAGATGGATGTGGAGAAAAGAGGATCAGCCAAAGAATTGCTACAGGTGGGACTCAGCTTTGTCTCATGGTGTGAGGGCCAGCCTGTGATGAACCACACCATCGACTGGCACTCTTTTTTTGGGGTGTTTTCTCCTGAGAATTGTGATGAATGCAGTTGAATTCTGCTTTCTGCAATGACTGAATTACAATCATTAAATATTTATAATGCACTCCAAAGTTGTTCCATCATAATCTGTGCCTTCACTCTGCTGCTGCCAAAGCATCCAGCAGTATAGGAGCTCCCTTCAGGAAGAGACCATTGATAGCATTTGCATTGATAGCATTTTCATACTTCCACCTGCAAACGTCCTCCTCAGAGCTCCTGATAAAATAATCTGCTGGTCTGACATCAGTGGTAAAGCCCTGAAAAGAAAAGTTTCCCTTTTCCCCAGGGTTCTACCTTAGGAGCTCAGCATTTGGGGCAGTGTCCTTGTCATTGTGCCACCATTTCTGCTTTTATTTTTGATTTTAAATACTTTCTGGGCACTGGAAAAAAAGCTGGTTTGTTAAAGGAGGTCTGCATGTGGGCATCATTGTGTGAAGGAGTGAGAGAACCCCTGATGCCATTCCTGGGGAGAGCAAGTAGTAGCTCTGATGCAGATGGCTGGGAGGCTTTCCCAGTAAAGCCCAGCTGCTGCTCCTTGTCTTTCTCAGATTATTTCTTGTTTAGATCTTTGTTTTGCTCATTATAAGTGCAGTTTCAGTACCCATTTTTTTCCAAAACCAGTGAGATATTCCAGGAGAAACTCCACTGGGCAAGGCAGTGTGACTGTGGCCAGCCTGGGATCATCTTGTCCTTGTAACCACCAGGACAAACACGTGAAAYGAGTCAGCAGTTAAAATGCAGAGTCATTCCTTCCCAGCTCCACAGAAACAGAATCCTGCTGGAAATCCAACCTTTAAAAGCCTGTCTTTCACTGATTTCCCATGTTTCTCTCTTCCTGGCAGCATCCCTTCTTGAAACTGGCCAAACCTCTGTCCAGCTTGACGCCACTGATCCTGGCAGCCAAAGAAGCAATGAAGAGTAACCGCTAACATCCTGCCACGGCCTTCTTCCTTTTTTGTTTGTTTGTATTTTACAAATCTTTATAATATATGAAATTGTTACACTTCGGGGGGGAGGGAAGGGATTTTTGTGGGGGTGGGAAACGTCTGCAAAAGGGAAGAAACTCTCATCCAGAAGACACCCAGAATAATGTTGTGGCGACTCTAGAGATCCCTGTCTGGGGTCCAGAAGGAATGGAGGGCTGAATTACTGGCCTTTGTGGGATTTTTTTATTCTGATTTTATTTTTCCCAGACAGCCCAGAAATGCCACTTGCTGTGCCCGGGGCTTTAWGGGGTTTTAACGACTTCGCTGTAACAGCTCCCGTTGTACTCTCGGGGTACTTTCGATACTTGAATGACAGATTCAAGCTTTCAGAGAGCAGTACTAATTTTACCTGCTGATCTCTTTGACTCTCCTCTTCCTCCCCTCTACCTGCAATCCCTGTGGGAAGCTCCCAATGACCAGATTCACAGCAGGCGTGGCGAATGTGAAGGTACATCTTGCCCCCCATTTCTGTTTTGGATTAGCTGTACTGTGGAATCAACAACTCGGTTACTCAAGGAGCCGTAATGTATGGAAAAGGTTTTTCCTTTCTAGGATGAATAAGGAGAGAGAGAGAGGGGGAAGAGAAGTATTCAGCTGTTTCTCATGCCTGTGCTCTGTGGATGTTTTTTTTATAATCAAAAATGTGGCCTCTTTGTAGAACCGTAATGATCGGTCGAGTCTTTGGATGTGGGTTATGGATATGTAGGTTGGGGTCAGATACTTTATTTATGATCAAATGATCAGTTCTAGTCAGGGCAAGAAAAAATTCCAGCTGTCTTCCTGTCTGCTCTTTTTTCCCCTGTTAGACTTGCTGGCCAGAAGCTTGAGGGATAACGTGCTTGGTGCAGTGGGTGGTTCACAAATGTGTATCTGTGCTCTGACTCGGGCTTTGGAAGTTACGCTGGTGCCTTTGACTTTTTTTATTTTACATTTCCCTCCTTTGTATCAAATACGTTTTTGTATATGTTGTAATTTCCCCTCCCCCTCCCCGCCAAGCAAATAATGCATCAACCTATGGAATTGTCAGAGTTTAAAGTATTAGAGCTATTTTTTTCCAGTTTTGTACGTGCTCTGTTTGTACTAATGAAACCAGAAGAACAAATAAGCAGATCTGAGGACACTGTCRATGCAGGATTTTGGAAACACGACCTGAACAGATGATGAACACCTGAGATGCCAAAATTGTGAGATGAAGCAGAGGGGAAGCAGCRCTGTCAGACCATCGTGGGGCCTGTTGGACCGGCTGGCTCAGGGCTGAGGGGCYGTGTCACACTGATCCCTGTCACCAAGGACATTGTGCCAGCCAGGATGGCTGCAGTCACCCCTTCAATGCAACAAAAAGTGCCTCCTTCTGAAGGACAGTGACACCCTGAGCTGTTGAGCTCTTGGGGTGTTGCCAGGGGCCAGTTTGGCTGAGCCTGTGCCCCTTCTAGTGCTACAGTCTATGCATTTCAACCTCCCCCAGTGTTTAAGGAAGAGCCACCTGTAGTGCCAATGTGCCAAACATTGAGTCTGTGAAAGAGCAACCGTGACTTTAGTGGGATTGTATTGCATTCCCAGTGGGGCAGGGCATGGGACAGACAGAGCTGTGGTTGGGTGGGGGCAGAGGACCCTGAAAAAAAAATTTTTGCACACTTTTCCAAGCATTGCCRGCAGAGGATAGAAGTAATTTTCAGAGAATTTCAGTGTCTGTAAAGAGAGAATGACATTTTGGGGACTGGTAGCCAAGGTGACAAAACCAACTTGCAGGTGAGAGCGGCTGGATGGGATTTGGGGTGATGGTGGAGGGGAGCAGGGCTGTGSTSTCACAGCTCCTGGGGATCCTGTGGTGCCAGCAGAGTGCTTTGCTGGGCAGGTTCAGCTTGTGCTCTGCTCCTGTGTGCTAGTTAAAATCTCTGTTGGGTTAATTACCGTGACTGCTCCTCAMAGGGATAAATATCTCTAGCTGTAAAAACAGTTACGCCTTTAAATTTTAAATTGAAGCACAAATGTCTCGTTCCAGGTAAGTAAATCCAAGTGCATTTCCCTGGGAAAAAAAGTTTATTAGGAGCCTTGGACACTGTAATCACCCTGGTTTGAATGTGTCCTGGCTCCCTGGTCAAATGGAGCAGTGAGGAGGCTTGGCTGAGGAAAAAACCTGTTGTACCAGTGGTTCCCTCTTTGTCCATTGCTGGCAATGGACTTAGTGAAACTCCTGTGCCAGAGTTAAACTGGGAGCTTTTCTTTCTTTCATCTTTTTCTTTTTTCTCTTTATTTTTTTAAATGGCACAATCTAGATAAATTTAGCTTTTTTTAAAAATAGAAAACAAATCATAAGTAATTTTAACTTATTAGTTCACTTTTATTGGTGAATGAAAACGGTTTAAAACATATTGCAAAATTTGTCCAATTTAGTCTACTTGGGAGACAATTTCTGAAGATTCAGCCATCCTAATGCACAAAACTTGACCCAATCCCAAAGTTCCCAAACTGTGTTGACCTGGGACGGTGTTCAGCTCTGAGGCTGGGCAGTGCCAGCATCTCCCTGTTGTGTGGTGGGGTTTCCACGGGGATCAGAGGGGAGGAGAGGCAGGAGAAGGTTTTTGTGCTGTGCTGTTGTGTCCAGAGGGTCGGGCGTCACTTTGCCGAGGGTGTGTGTGAGGTTGGAAGCTCCACGCTGTGGGATTTCCCTGCTGGGTTCAGGGCTGTGAGCTCTGCTGTGTCCTGGGGCAGGTGGGGACCAGCCAGAGCTGGAGGAATGGCAGGGGATGAATTTGGGGATCCCTTGGATCCCTGTGGGGTGCCCAGCCACGATCCTGAGCGGGGATCTGGTGTGATCCCTGTGAGGGTCATGTGGGGTTAGTGGGGCAGCTTGTGGCTGAGGGGCGGGTGTGCAGGGATTGTGAGATTCCTGGGATGTTGTAATCACAGGATAAAACAGAGTTCTTGATAAAAACACCCGTGGGAATGTGCACTTTGCCCTGCCTTAGGTGTTAATGAGACTAATTGGAGCTGCCCTCCCCTGGCTCTCCGTGCAGGGAGGTGCAAAGGTTTGGCTACAGCAAATGGGTCCCGTTGTCAGAGGGGCTGGGGAGGGAGCAAAAACGTGATTAAGGGTCTCTGCAGCTGGAATTGAGTCCATGATTCTCTCTGGTCTGTTTTTCCCTCTGTTCCTGATGCTGTTGATGGGAATGGAAGTAGGTGCAAGCTTTCTTTTTATTTTTTTAACTGTCTTCAGATGTTAATGTTGCCTTTTGTGTAATTTAATCCCATTATGTTATTTAATTGTTACTGCAATATTAACTACTGTATTTGTTGACTTTGTTTAATAACTGTTCTTTCAGGGCTAGAAATAAACTTTTAAAAAACATTTGGGGTTTTTTTACCCTCCCCTTTCCCTGTCATTAATTTATACCTTTGAAAACAAGAGTATCTGAAAGAGTTCATGTTTTACTGAGATTAACATAATTTATTGGCAGCTACGTTCCTTTTGAATGTTTGGTGGTGGTGGATATGATTTTATGCCATACCAGTCTGTCTCTTTTAAAGTTTTATTATTCATCAGTGTCAGTACCAGCCTTGGGATCACCATGAGCTTTCCTTGCCGTGCCTTCCAAAAAACCTTGGGATCGCTGATGGGAGGAGAGCAGCCCTGGACCACCCTTTTCACCCACCCATGAGGGAGAATTGAGCAAAGCCACTGCCAGTGTTGGTCTGCCAGTTCAAGTAAAGCCCAGGACGTGGAAGGATTTATGCTGTGGTTGGGTTCTGGATGGTCATTGGGTTCTGGATGAAGTTTCTGCCTCAGTCATGAACAGTGAGGACTTGCCATGTCCTGTGTTTCCTGTGTGTAATTGGGAAAGGGGCTCTTCCCCTTTCTTGCAAGTTGTACAAGCTCTGTTCCTACCCTGAGCAAGGGAAATGAAGAAACCACTCGTCTCCAGCAGCTGCTTCACCCAGACAYGAGAGTGTTGGTTTGCACAGACCCYGCCTCTTCAGGGTTATCTRTTGTASTATCTTCRTYTTTATATATAATCGACCCTTCATGCATTTAAACTGGTGTTCTCTAATGCTGCATTTAACTGATCTGGCATTTAAATTCTGGGGGGAAAAGTGGACAGGAGGAGAAGGTGCTGAGTGGAACTGAGGATTATCAGGATTTTGGTTTGTATAGCTCAAAGTTGCATATCCTTGATAAATCCTAAGTCTCGTGTGCACTTGCTCATCCCTTTTCCGAGACTAAACCCAAGAGCAGCCCCATTTGTTTGAGATCAGTTTATTCAAGACTGAGTATTTAAAATGAGTTCTAGAAGACAGTGAATTTGTGGGCAGTGGTTTCTGCCTTTCMGGGTCGCTGTTTGGCTGCAGGTACTGCATAGCTGAGTGCAGCTATTTGGGCTGCACCAGTAACACACTGGTTAAAACCAGGTGGGTGAAAACTCAGGATCCTCAGCCTAAAGAGCATTGTTGGGTTTTGGTGCAGTTCCCATGGCTCCTGTGCTAAGGCACAGTGGTGTCTGTACATCTGCATTTTCTCTTTTTTTTTGTCTAACTTTCATTTTGCTCTCAAGATTGTTTTTAATAAAAACAGCCGTCCTCAGTCATGCGAGAAAGCAAYGGGAAACTTTGCTGAGCTCAGCCAAACTCTGCTTGGTGCTCTCCAGATGTGTGGAGGAAGCAGGTTTTTCCAAGAGCTCTTCTCCCAACTTCGAGTTCAGCCTAAGGAAAGATTTCTTTTCCTGGAGGGGGAAAATACCAAGTGAAAGCTGTGACTTTCTGTGAATTCTTTACCTGCAGCCTGTTAGGGGGGAGCAGGGCAGTGCTGACAGCTCCTCGTGCTTTTCCTAGCTGTTTTCTGCAGTGGGAATGTCCTCCAGCACATCCAGCACTTTGAATCATGGATTTGATAARATTGRAAAAGACCTTTAAATCATCAAGTCCAATCCATCGAGATTTCAAACCCCACCTGACCTGAGTGTGGAAACAGCCCGTAGGGGCTGACAGTTTGGGKTTTTTAATGGGATTTTCCCAGTGGGAAGTTATGGGTTGCTCATTCTCTCTCAGACATTTACCAGGCCCCCAGACTTCTGCTTTGGAGCTGTTTTCAGTCAGTGGAGAGGGGCTGGAATGGGAAGGGCAGGCAGTCCGTGTCAAGGCACAGATCTGGCTCAATGCATGGATGTCTGCAGCTCCTGGTGTTTCCTGRAGGGCTTTGGAGTGATGAACCCAGCTTGGTTCAACAATGGAGACATTGATGGCAGCTCCTTGRACTGATCTGCAGGGGAGACACCCCCACACCACGTGCAGGGCTGACCTCCTCGGGACAGACATCTGCCATTTCTTGAGGTTTCTAGAGCCAAGGATGAACCATCTTTGTTGTTTTTTTCTCCCAGTGAATGCTTATTCRAAGGGTTCAGCTCTTGTCACGAAGCACAGTTAACTCTTGGATCTCCTGGATCTCCCTTTTCCCTGCCTGCTCCRGGTTCCTGCTGCCTTGTCAGGGTTCCAGCTGGGAACAGCTCCTGGAAAGCTCTAATCCACCCACCCCTGCCCTGTGAAACTCCCCTGAAATACCCTTTTAACTACTTTTTATTGTAGCTGTTGAGTCTTTGAGGGGGAGAATAGTGAGGGAGCCAGGGTGGTTCTGCTCAGCTCTTTGTGACCCCTCGTTTGTTTTGGGCAGTAATAATTTTCCTGAACTCTGAAAATGCCAACTTGTTCCTGTCCTATATGGATAAACCCCCCTCCCTATTTAAACATTTGCATTTTAAGCCCTGAAAGCCATTTTGGTTTAGAAAGACACTGATGTTGCAGCTACAGAAAAGGGTTTTTTTTGGTGAAATTTTTAGATAGTTTTGTTCCTAGAAGASCAGCCCTGCAAAGCTTTGTGGAGTTTGCTGTCAGCAAAAAACATGAATGAGGGAATGAGCCCCTGGTATTTAATCCCAAAGTGATCCTTGGAATCAACAGCTCCCAGCTCCCCTCTCCCCTCTCCCCTCTCCAGCCTGAGTTAAATGTCCCACAGCTTATGAATGGCAAGCAATGGGTGSGAAATTGTTTTTAAACCTTGGAATGTTTATTTCCCAAGACTTAACTCTTAAAACGTTTAAAAATAAGGGAAAAAAAAAAACCAATTTCAGGAGGAAGGAAAAGATGTTGGAATTCTTTTCCCAGTTTTACCAGTCTGTGTCCCATAATCCAGTGGTTCTCTCCCTGGGACTGGATTTGGGCTGTCGCTGGGTCCTCGTGAGGTTTTGTGTCTAAAGAGGAAACTGCTGGTTTCTCAACTTCTGAGAGACACGGAAGCAGGGGAGATGGAAAGAAACGAGTTGGATTGGGATGCTCATATTTTTGGGTTGGTTCTGCAGTGATGAGCAGCTTTGACCAGCACTTTGTTGCTGCCAGTGCTCAGTTTTCATGAGGATGAAATTACCAATTCATGAGATTCTTACAGAATGTTCCATCTTCTGTTATTTGAACAGTCACTTGTTCGTTTGAGGTGAAAGATGCGAGGTTGTTCTGTCATCTGGAGGGAGAATTGGGGTAAAAAGAGCTTTGACCTTCACAAGCATCCCTACCATGCCCTGC